TGGGAGGGAGGTTGGGGGTGGGGGAGAGGGGATGGTTCTAGTCTGGTGGCTGAGAAAGGTCACTCCCAAGAAAAGCAGGGCTGGGAGCGGCCTTCAAGATCTTCTCCAGCTCACCCATCACATAGATGGGAAACCGAGGCCCAGTGGGTCTGTTTCTGTGCTGGTGTGAAGGCAAGAACAGGCCGACGGTCGAAGCAGATCAGAACTCAGGGCAATGTTCTTTTCACACCATCTCCCAGTGGGTTCAAAGGGGTTCTTTGGGCACCCAATGGAATAGGACTCTTCAGGCATCAGAAAGGGGAAGCTAAGTAAGGGCTATCATTTGGAAGGAAGGAAAGAGGACCTACTGGGAGATTCTGGGTGGACGATTACAAAGGAAGATGTATCACCTTCCAGGCAAAAAGTGGGAGAGGTGATTTTTGTCAACACCCTGAGCAGCCTGAGGCTAGGGACCAATGTGAGTTGGGGACCTAATACCTGATGGAAGAAGAGGGGTTTGGCAGAGACATCAGAAGAAGGGGCAGAGAAACCTGTCTTGGTGTACATGGAGAAGACAGGGGATTGGGCTGATGAATTCTAGTTCAATAAGCTCCAAATGTCATCATTATTATCTTCATTACCCTGGGTTTGAGTCCAGATTGCCTGGGTTCAAATCTCACTCCATCACTTATTATGGTTGGACCCCAGAAAATCAACTTAATCGCCAAATCCACCGTGCTATATATCCATCAAATAAGGATAAATAATGGTACTTACCTATGGTGGTTGTCAAGAGTAAATGAGATAATGTATGGCAAAGCTTCTAACAAATACTTACTGCAGGCCCAATGTGTGTCAGGCGCTGTTTTAGTTGCTGGGGAACAAGATGAGGCATTTTTCTGACCAGCTCCCATTTCAGCGGCATGTACCCCTGGGCTCATATACTGGATTGACGGGAATGCTACTCTTCGTATAACAAGCATCTATACCACATAGGCCACAAAGTGCATTCACGTCCAGTGTGTCTTTAGGCTTTCCACAACTTTAATTTTATGGGGGAAACTGAGGCTCAATATGCAGGAAAGTGACTTTTCTTAAATCAAACAGCTAGTCAATGGCAGAGGGACCTACCACCCAGATCTGTCTGACTGCCTGGGCTTCTAATTCTTGATGCAGAAGAGGAAAGTAGTGTGTGTGTGTGTGTGTGTGTGTGTGTGTGTAGGTGGGAGTGAGGTGAACTAGGGAAAAGATATGTCCCATCTCGATGTTCATGGGGTGTCAAATCTAATGCTATGGAGAAGGGAGTATGTCTCCTGGGGCACAGGTGGACCTCTCCAACACCTCCTGGCCAGCTGTACCCCATTTGGCACGGTTCTCATGGGAACTTAGCACATATTTAGTGAATGAATGAATGAATGAATGAGCAAGTGAGTGGCATTCTTCCTTCTCCTTGCCCTCATTCTCTCTCTGGTTCCCTCCTCCTGGCTTGTCTCCCTCCCCCACGGGCCTGCTCCAAGCCAAGAAACACTTGCCCCCATGGACAAGATTCGACTGGGGAGCCGTAAAAGTTGAGATACCTTCCAGAAAACAGAGTTGTAATACAAACCCCTGGTTGGCTCCAAGGGCCCAGAGTCAGGAAGAAGGAGGTCTGCTTCACTGGGGCTGAGGGCCCAGCCCGGCCAGCACTGGGGCACAGTGGGGGTGGGGAGATAAGCCAGGAAGATGGGTGCTATGGATTTAACTGTGTCCTCCCAAATTCACATGTTGAAGCCCTAACCCCCAGTGTGACTGTATTTGATGATAGGACTTTTAGGAGGTAATCCAGGATAATTGAGGTCATAAGGGTAGGGTCCTGATCTGTCGGATTGGTGGCCTTATAAGAAGAGAGAGCTCTGTTTCCAGGACATGCACCAAGGAAATGCCATGTGAATGAACAGTGAGAAGATGGCTGTCCTCAAGCCAAGAAGAGAGCTCTCGCCAGAACCCAGCCACGCTGGCACCCTGATCTCGGACTTCAGGCTCCAGAAGTGTAAAAAAAATAAATGTCTGTTGTTTAAGCTACACAGTGTATTATATTTTGTTATGGCAGCCTGAGTAGACTAGTACAAGGGGAAATGGTAGCCCCCGGTCCTGCTCTTTCCCATATGGCTCCTTTAAGCTTGGACAGAACCAAAGACCCAGGCCCAGATCAAGTAGGCTCCTACCCTATCCTGTCTTGGGATGAGAGCCCTTTTTCTTAAGCGTTTTTCCAATCTGTAAAATGGGATAAACATATAAATGTGCCTCATATTGCACTTAGCACATAGGAAAAATCAACATTACATTTCATTACATTCCTGCCTTATGAAAGTTGGTCTCTTCCCTTCTTTGCATGCTAAACTGTTCGTCCTTGAGGATCCAACTCAGATGTTACCTCCTTGGTAACATTGCCCTCATTCCTTCCAAATGGGTAAAGCCTCTCTTCCCTGTTTCTACCCTTTCTGCCAGCCCTGCGTGGCACTTACAGTCTCTGTTATAACATAGTTGTGTTTATGTGTTTTCCTGGCTCACATGAACAAAGCATGCAGCCGGAAAACATCTGTTACATGGATCAAGGTACCAATCTCTGAGTTGGGCACTGCTAGCCTTGCCTTGGCTCCAAGTCCTCAGCCTATTGGATGGCATGAGAGTTAAGGACAGGAGGTCAGGGATGAAAGAGCAGAGGTGAGCAGCCTTGGTCCTCAGTGGGAAATGAGTGTGTGGGAGGTGGTGAGATGGGAGGTCACTCCATAGCCAGAGAAGAGGCAGGGTTCAGGGGACATGGGAATCTGAGTCTTGAAAAATGATTGGCAGTGCAGGGGGCTGCCCTCTTCCCTTCTCATCAACTCCAGTAGCAGGAGTTGGGGCTGGAACTGCAGTTTGCTAGTTGGGGAGGAGGCAGGGGCTATTCAAGGCCATTGGGTGGGTCTCTTTACATGCCTTCCATGGTAGCCCCTGCTACTGAGTCCCACAGTTCAGCCCAAACAGAAGCCCAGCTCTGCCCTTCCTAAGACTCTTTAGGAAAGTGGGTGCCCCTGCAGCCCCCTCTGGTACCACCTGGCAAGACCTGGACTGCCAGTGACAGAAGCCAGGCTTCAGCTCCCCAGGCCCAGAGCGGGGCGATGAAGCCTTTGTTCATTGCTCTAGGGCTGAGCTGGCAGCTCAAGGCGTCTGGGTTCAAGGACTCTTCCAGACTCTTCTTGAGCCGCCCATGTTTCGCTTGCCTCATCATTCAGGGAGCACGAGTGAGACCTTGGAACACATCAGGGGTACGACGCATACTTACCTTCAGCTCGGGACATGGGACACCCCAACCCTCTGTCTTCTTGGCAGAGTGGCAGGGAGGAGATCATGAGCAGGTGTGTCAGACATGTGGGGGGACACAGCATGGTTTAAGTGATGGTTATGAAGTGGAAGCCAGCTGTGGCCAGGGGTGTGGGAGGGAGTGAGGCACATGTGGTCTTCTCTAAGACACAGCCACCACCTGCCGACTCAGGTCCCTTTCTCTGTTCAGGGCTCCAACTCTGAGGGGAGAGCCCTGAATGCCTTAGAAGCAATTGTTGTACAAAGATAGACGCTTTATTTTCTGTGGTGGGAGCTACACAGGCACCCATGGGTGTATAGAGGGCTCTCTGCCAGCCCCCAGGCTGTGACCTTGAGAACCTTGTCTAGTATTCTGCAGTCTCCGGGGTGAAGCAGTACCTGACCACAGGCTGGGTGGGCTGTCTCAGCCGGTCCTGTCAGCCCAGGGCCTCTTCGGCCCAGTTTCCTGAGTTGAAATCATAAGCCATCAGGCCCAACTTTGGCCAAAGACAGTGATGCTCTGGCAGGCACTTGCTCCTCAAAGAACTAAAATGGGCTTCTTCTCTGAGCTTCCCTTTCCACACTCACGGTGTAGTTTCCTTAGGGCCCCAAGTCTGTCAGACAAACTATTCCAGCTTCTAGGGGTGGGAGTGGGGGTGGGGTGGGAAAGATCCCCCTCCTCCCAGCTACTCCAGGCCTCTTGGGATGGCTGCCAGTTTGCATTCCTGACTCTCTGCTGCCCCCCTGTGGCTTCAGGGCTAGTTGACACCACACCTCCCAGAGAGCTGTGTGGGGGTGAGGGGAGGGACATTCAGCAAGACGAGCTGAGACAGAGCCGCGAGAGCTGGCCCTTGTGTCTGCTCTGGAGAGCAGGAGTCTCACAGTCCCTACCGAGGTGTAGGTTACACAAGCAACACTAGGGCAGTTGTGACACCAGCTGGAGGACCCTCACCTACCAGAAAATTAAAAGACGGGACTGACACTCATTTGTAACGGAGGGGATTAGACATCAAGAACACGAAGACAGCTGGGTTGTCTCCGACCATGGGGGCAAGTTCTCCCTTGCTAAGCTGCCCCAGCAAGCCTGGCCACGTTGGCCTGAAGAGCCCAAGGCAGGGGATTCAGCTTTGTCCTGGGAATAGCTGCCCAAGAAGCCATCAGGGAAGTGGGGAAAAGAATGGATGTGGAGAGAAAGAGAGTCAGTCCATCTCTCCTTTGGTCCTCAATCCTTGCGTGACATCTGCTCCCAGGCTGGCCTTGGGCCAGGGCCCCGTGGGTCCCAACCTAGCACCTGCTGTTCGCCATGAAACAGGGTCACAGGTCTCTAGCTCAGCCTGCTGTGTCAGTAGAGTCCAGACTGATGGAGTCAGGGGTCCTCAGAGGTGGCTTTTATGGGGGGTCCTCAGATGTGGGTGTGCTTCCGAATCACGGGGAGCTTGTTCAGATGTCTACCAAAGTCTGAGAAAAACAGCTGATACTGTCTATTGACCTCCTTTTAAGGCTGAGGAAACTGAAGCCCAAGGGGGTCTGGATGAAGGTCACTGCTGAAGGTCATAGTGGGTTCAAGTGTTTCAACTTAGTACCATTCTCCTTTGGTCCAATACATTGGTCCATCAGTGTGGCCACAGGCCCTTGTTCAGGGGGTGTGGGGTTCCTGGGCAAGCCCCTTGAAATATCTGGAAAGTATGCAGGAAGCTCCCCACTACATCCTTTCTGTGTCCTGCAGCAGAGCACCCACCAGGCTGATGACCTGCGAGACTGGCTGGACCGTGTCATATTCTGCGAAGAGGTGGCACACATTCTCCTGTGATTCGGTCTGACTCTTGGCCACGAACCCAAAGATCCTGATGGGAGAAGGCAGCCTGCGTGAGAGGCAAGACCAGGCGGGAGAGGGGAACTCAGCCCACAGTGCTCCTCCCTGCCCCTTCCCTAGCCAAGTGGCTCTAGCACCTCATCATCATGGGAGGAGCTATGTGCCTGCCTCCCCTCTGGGACTGGGAGATCCCTGAGTACAAGATTGGAGTTTTCCTCATTTTGAATGGGGCTTTCTGAACAGAGCTTCTGTATCCCCCATCAGAGTGAGGAAAGCAAGGATGTGTCTTGGCCATCAGACTGGGGCCTCCCCACAGATTAAAGCTCCTTGAGGTTAGAGCCTGTGGCTTCCCTATCAGGCAGGAGGCTTCCTGAGGACCAGGGCTCAACTCCTTCCCCATGTTGCGTCCAGGGCCCTGCCTCGGGGAGACTGGCCAGGTGGATGGGAAGGCCTTACCAGGAGGGCTTACGGTACTTCTGCCACCTGTGGGAAAGAAGCGTGGACAGCAGTGAGTGCTGAGGCTTTGCTCCATTCCACCGCACTCTGGCCAAGCAGCGGGAGAATGGCGAGCTATGTCCCCACCCCTGCCAGGCCCCACCTGCCCCTCCTTCTGTAGCTCCTGGCCCCTTGAGGATCATAGGTTCTGTCTGTGATCCCGTCCCAGAGCCAGCAGGACGCCTAGGTGGGTGGCTAGGCCCTGGACAGTCTTCTTTGTTTGGCCCAGCCTTGAACTTACTTCCGTTGCTCTGGGTCCATGCCACAGAAGCGGAGGGTGCTGAGGGGGTAATGGCGCCGGAAAAACACCCTGGGAAAAGGCAGGAGAGAAGCAGAGCTGGTGAGAGCCCACCCCAGGGTCATGCCCGCCTCCATCATCTCCAGCTTGGTACCTTCTGAGAAGCCTCCCAGCAGGACTCCTTACAGCCTGCCATTACCTTTCCCCCACGTGCCCTGGAGCACATGTTTGCACTTCTTTCATGAGTGCATCTGCTATGTGTCCTACACATTGGGGTCTTCTAGCCCCTCCCCGCTCTCTGCCCACCATGTCATTTAACTATCTGAGGATAGTAATTATTTCTTGGTCATTTGTTATTCTTCCAGCCTAGAACCAGGCTTCTGCTAGACTGAATCTCTGAGCCCCAGGAAGGAGCCACCTCATCCCACAGTGTCCCACTGGTCAACCAGAGTCTGGCTGACAGAAGATGTTCTATCAGCAGGTGCAGACTCAGTCAGTGCCCAGTGAATACTGGTTGATTCCATTTCCATTGGTCACAGTGAAGGGGGACTTTGGCAGGAGGTCATTGGAATAAGGCTTGAA